AAATAAAAATAAATAATTTAAATTAATTTCCAAAAATCATACCAAACATAATCTTAAATTAATTTCATAGAGTATATAGTTAGTGTGAATTGTCATTCTCCTTAATGATCCCTCCTCCACCTGCTTCCGGAGATATAGATCATTGCTCCTTGTACTCTTGACATGATAGATTCAGCAGCGGTACAGCTGCCCATGCAAATATTTTCCTTCGTTTTCCTAGTTTGGCACGCCGTGGCTGTGGCAAAACTCCATCCTCGTGTACCCAATTAACATTGTTAACTTCAAAAATGAATATTAAACTCAGCAGGTGTTGCAGACCCATGCACTAATTAAGCATTATCAGAGCAGTGAGCGGTGATATTGCCAGACCAGAACAGACCATGTGATTTTTCTGTTTTTCCCTTGAAGTTGGATCATGCCGCTGCTGCTGCTTCCAGTATATATGGTTGCATCCATTAATTAAATGTGAGTATCCAAATCTCGCTCTTTGTTTTCCAATTTTTCGTTGGCGTCACCTGTTGTCATTAAAGACAGAATGGATGCTAGCTAACATCAATTAACCTTGTGTGGATAGTCAAGAATTAAGTTCACGAATGGGTCTGTACGTAGTCCTCCTTGATTTCCAAATTAATCCAAGGAAACAACCAAGTGAGGAGGATAGTAAATGTGAGGCAAGATGCTCACATGATTCTGCTCTCCCCTGGTGGGTGGATATTAGTTGATCAAATCATGCTTGCTTTGTCAAGAACGGAGACTGAGAGAGAGGAGCACCGAAACCTAAAAGTTCTTGTGTTCTTTTTCTATGAAGTTTAAAGATGTTTAGATAACTCCTTCAAGGAGCACAACGTCAAGATGCAACGTGTTGAATGATGAAAGTTTCTTCATGCCACAACCACCGCTGGCTTGGAGAGCTTTTGCCTTGACATGTTGTCTGTATACTTATAGTGGGACTAAAACTGGGTCTTCCACTCTGGACTCATTTGTCTTGCGGAATAATATGGATTACTAGCACCAGGGGCTAAACTTCCTCTCCCTCTTCGACACTTTGAGTGCATTTATTCCTTCGATCACGATAGTGTGGATCAAGATGCACAAGAGAGATATTAGTCTATGGGCTCAATGGATGGAGTCTCGAGCCTACGAGTCCACTTATGGTTGGGTCAAAGGGAGAAGCGTGGAAGCAATCCATCAGCGTGTGTTTCTGTGCACGGTTAAAATTGTATTTTTAAAAACATTATTTTTTTATTATACTAATAAATTGTGCACGCCATTTTTATTTTTATTTTTGTTTCTTTTGGCATGACTGTGCGTATTTTACACAAAAATTAACAAAACAAAATGCGTTTATATAGATTCTGGTAAGTATTGTTTTTAAAAGTATTTTATGACATAAAAATATATAAAAATATTTTTTTTAAAATAGTATTTTATGGAAGAGCAACGCTTATGAGCTCTCGTGAAATAACGCGGGCGTGGCTTGAGCATGGCAATCTTTTGCAAAGCATGCTGTACACGGGCACACACATGTACTTGTTACTTGGAAATTTATGTTAAATAAATAAGTTATTGATAAATAAAAAATTAATTTTAAAGAATTTTGGTTTTTTACTTAAAAAATTCTTGATGTTTTTATATTTAATATTTAATTTATAATAACTAATTAATGATTGATAATGATGTTTTTTATTCTTTTTAACTTTCAAAATTTATTATAAAAAAAGAGTGAAATAATAGTTTTAGACAATTATTTTTCAGATTTTACACACTATTTTTTACATTATTTTCAGTACTCTTCTTTTTATTTTTATGTTTTGATTTTTCTTATAAATCTAGAGTTTAAATTCATCTTGTTGAGAAATATTCAAGTTACATATTTTTTTTGTTCAAAAACCTTATTTAAAAGTGCATCTAAACCAGTATAATGTAATTAGAATCTTAAAAGATATATTATAAATATCATAATTGTATAAATAAGGAGAAATAAAGTCTTAAAAACAAAAAAATTATGATTGTTAGCAACAAAATATTCATTATTTTAAAATGTTTTAATAAATATGTACCATTTTTATTTTAATTTAAACACGATTAATTTTATTATTAGTATGTATTTTATTTTTTATTTTATATCAATTGCATATTTGAATATATGTTTAGTGTCACACATGTGCAGTGTCGCAGCGATCATTCACCCTCAGTTCTTGTTTATCTATCTAGCAAATATGAAAAGATACGAAATTCTTGTTTTTTATCAGTGGAAAAATAGAATGAGAGTCGCTATCTAGTATTTTGGTAACTAGGAACCCTAATTGATCTCAGAGATTGGGTACGAGAACTGGTTGCGTAAAGAGAAAGTATTAACACTCCAAATACGCTCTACCTAAAATAAACTGCATTATTTTATTGTCTGATATATGTTATGGTTTTATTGTATTTCTAATTGTTGGTTTATCTACGATTTAAGAAAAGTTCTATTCGGTAAGAAGATCCTTATCTTATCAAGTAAAATTTAACTGTTCTAACGTCAATAAAAAAATTTAATAACCAGAATACGTCTTATGTATAAGGTTGTAACCCTATATACTAAAAAAGAACAATTTTTTTTTTGTTATTTTTAAAATTTTTACCTAGTTCTCATTATTTTAATAAATTGGTTTTTAAAGCGAAAATGCATACTAAAATATTTTTTAAAATTTTTTTGGAGAGACTTGACAAAAACTAGGTATTTTATTATCGAATTTGTATATTTACAATATAAAAATACAAACCAATATTAAGCAAAAATTAGTACGGGAAATCATAGATTTTTAAGAATATTTTTTGAAATTTATTATTATCATTATTTTGACTGGACCAGACCTGACCCAGCCACTTTGGTCTGGGTCAGCATTGTCCTGCCTAGAAAAATAAAACAAATAATGAAGAGACTTTTCATTGTTCACGTGAATAGTGAAATGACCTCAAGAAAATGAAGAATAAAAGGAGGAAGAGGAAGAAGTAAGCTTGTGGCCTAGCGGTATTGCCGGTGGCTATTGACGGTGTTGCGGCTTCGGACAATGGCATTGACTAGCCGATGGTTCTTTTTTTTTGTGTTTGTCTTCTGTATTTTTTTTTTCTTTTATGCTCCATTCTTCTTTTTGTTCCATGTTTTATTCTCTCTCCCTCTCTGGTCCTCTCAAACTTTCCTTGGTTCAGAATTCAACGGTCATGCTTTATTTTTTTCCATCCTCTCTTTTTCTTCCTTACTGTTTGCCTATGTTTTTTCTTTCTTTTTCTTTCTATTTCCTCTTAAATCTGTTGTTTGTTTCCTAATTTTATTTATGTTTCCTTTCAAATATGTCTTTTGTTTACCTGAAATCCTCTCTTTTTCTTTTTTTTGGCTCTTCAACTTTTCTATATCTCAAACAATTCTTCCCCTTCTTTAACCTTCCCTGTCTTTTCATTTTTCTCTATCCTATATTTATAGGAGGCCAGGGAAGAGAGCGACCCTTACCTGGTCCAATTGTGTCCAATTAATAGGGTGGCTCGGTGGCCACTAGGTAGTTGTTCCAGGAGCACAACATAGCTCGTCTCTTCTGCTTTTTCATCTTTGGCAAGTAAATGGGTAGGGGTCATGTCGAGTTTGGGTCTTTAGAAGAGAGAGGGAAAGCAGGAAAAAAAAGAAAAAAATAAACCCTTTCTTCTATTGCCACTGTATGTGTAGGGGAAAAAGAAGAACAATATCGTTCAAAACGATATTATTTTAGTGTTTTTGTTTTCTAAGAATAACAAAAAAATGAGTTATGACATTTAGCATGCATGCTAAAGTTCTATTATTATTTTTGTGTTGAAAGCATGTTTGTTTTTAATTATATTTTTACATACTTATAGTTTTTAGCATGCATAAACTTTATGTTTTTGTTGAACATCTTATATTTTTAGCAACACTTTTAACCACATAAATCTCTAATTTTATGCTATTGATGGTTGTTAGGGTTTTTTTTGGTAAAAATATTTTTTTATTTTTCAATTTCATTAACTCGTTTTAAAATTTAAATACCAATTATTATTATTATTATTATTATTATTATTGTGGATTGTTCATTGATGAACCAATTACTCATACACATATCGATGAGCACAATCTACTTATACCATAAATTAAAAATGACCTTTTGTTAATCACAAAAGACACACTATGATTGCCTTCAAAGGTCAATCTCGTGCTCATCCAAAGAAAAGAAGGGAAAGGCGGACACATAGCAAGGTCTTAAGAGCAAACTTGGGAAGAAAACGAAAACTCTTGTCAACACAATATCTTGTAAGAAAATGAAATGAGAAGATCATGGAGAAAAGCCTTGTTGACAGAATATATTATTTAACCTTATGATATCATATCATGTGGTATGGGGAGTGGGGTTATTATTTATTGAATATTATTAGCTATATTTACCACTAATTTGTACACTTTTTAGTGCACCAATTTAATTTGATGCATGCATATAATTTGAGAAAGGACAGTTGGTGCAGTAGGAGTGGAAGAATTGGCCAATTGGGGGTGGAGGGCCGTCCCAAGGAAAAATCGATTGTTGGATAATACTCTTTCTCCTAGGCTCGGCGCTAGCTCTTCTAGTTGGAAGTCTGACCTTGGTGTGCAACAAATAAGAAGAAGAAGAGGAGGCAAAAGTACGCAGCTTGATCGACTTATCCTCCCATGTATGTAGTTTCAACCTGTAAAAAGCGGCTGCCGACTCGTGTGTCCGTAAATTCAAAACTGGCCCCACTCAAATCAGACGGTTGAGCTTGGATAAGGGGAGTCCTGTACTTAATCTAGAAAAAGTGATCGGACGAGTATTAATATCTGGGTGTTGCTGTCCTCATTCAAGTCCGTCGATGTATACTACCGTCATAAAATGCGGGCACGTTTCCTTCCACCTATTTCCTTTTTCTTTTTTATTATTAAAATAAAATAAATAAAGGCGTGCGCTGTTTTTGTTACCGCCTAGTAATATCGCATGATATCATATTCATATATATTTTCATTTCAGGATATCTTTCTTCTTCTAGTGTTTCCCTGAAGCGCATACACCTTACTACATACACATGAATACAAAAATATCACTGCGCATTCCTCGATCTTAATCCTTGATATCTTCGATCGTTGTGGTGGTTTCTTTCTACCTGAACCTGTCGAGGTTTGTGTCTCAGGCAGATGAATCAATATCTCTTTTTTCATGTCTGTAATTTGCAGTCTGGATTGGCGGTGAGTCCTTGATTGCTTTTCGTTCTTTTGGCAGCTGTTTATTATCTATAACCAACAGGAGAAGAGGCTGAAGAAGATTGGATTTTCATCGAAACTAATAGTAATAGCAAAGTCATGGTATCTTCACTCTAGCACCTCTCTGTTTCCACTGCTCTGTTTCATCTTTTTATTCTTTTATTTTGTGTCTGGGGTTTACTCATTTGAGGCAGTGGTAAGTGATTGCAGGTGAGTTCATTTGGGCAAATGGGGAACCACGACATGGGTCCACCATGGTTGATACCCATGCTTAGAGCAAGCTATTTCATTCCCTGTGGAGTTCATGGTGAATCCAATAAAAGCGAATGCAATATGTTCTGCTTAGATTGTATGGGAAATGCTTTCTGTTCGTATTGTCTCATTTATCACAAAGACCACCGTGTTGTTCAGGTTTGTCGACTCTGTCTTCGAATTAAAACACTATTAATTTTACATCTACCTACTGCCAGTACTGGTACAGTGTTTTCTTCAATCTTATAGCATTGATAAGCATTGCTTGATTGATTGAAAAACCGCATGGTTTGTGCAGATAAGGCGATCTTCATACCATAACGTGGTGAGAGTAAATGAGATACAGAAATACATAGACATATCATGCGTGCAGACTTACATCATCAATAGCGCCAAGATTGTGTTCCTCAACAAGCGCCCTCAGCCAAGGCCGGGAAAGGGAGTCACCAACACTTGTGAAATTTGTTGTCGAAGTCTCCTTGATTCATTCAGATTCTGTTCACTTGGATGCAAGGTAGGTTAATTCTGATGATTTTCCTTCTCGATTATTAATCGGCGCTGTGCTCTGCTCTGATTACTTAATACAATATCCATTGTTTGTTCGAGTAAAGTGCTCTTTGCGTTTTGTTAGCTGGGAGGGATGAAGCAGGGTGACCCAGACCTTACATTTGCGGTAAAATTGAAGCACAATAGGGATCACTTCTTTGGTGGGTCAGAATCAGATGAGTCCTCGACCCCTAAGAAGATTCGCAGGACACATGCTTTCAATCGTTTGATGGACGGGCTCTCAATCTATTCCTCTAACAATGATGGTGCGGAGAGTTCTGGTGATGATGCAGCTACCAACATTTCTCCGGCTACTCCTCCCCTTTTCAATCATCGTAATGCAAGGAGAAGAAAGGGTATACCTCATCGTGCCCCATTTTAAGATTTCATAAACCGAAAAAAAAAAAAAATCAGATTTCCAGTATGCTTAGCATTTAGTGGTATTAAAAAAAGGAAAAAAAATGGCAAATAAAATGATGGCGAGGAAGGAGGAAGTGGAATGTGGGGAATTAGGAACTGATACATTCTCAAGCTTCTTGTGTAGATACCTCTCCACTAGTATAGAATAGGATACTAGATAGTATGTTTTTAATAGCTTCGGAGCAAGGAAATGGTCCCTTCATATACATTTAGCAATTACTGTTGGGATTTAATTTCTAAGTCAAGAAAACTTTGGATATATGTAATACCATATCCATGCATGTACAGATCATGTCTATAAATATATAATATGGGGTTTTAGATTGTTGGAAGGGTAGCAATAATAGAGTACAGTGGCATTTGTACAGAACAGAACATTGTGCTTTGTTCTTGTAGATATTTATATTTAAAGTTATACCTTGTGTTCTGGCATCTTTGAGATCTTCTATTTTATATTCTATGTGCATTCTGAGACACCTTTCGTCTATGTATATATATAGGGAGGGTGGGGTGTTTTCTCATGGGAAAATGAGTTGCAACTTCTTCTTATTTTGGACATGAATGGATCAATTGTGAATTCGTAGGTCGAAATGTGAAACTTATGCTGCATATATATGTGTAGGCTGCTCACAGATTTTGTAATGGATATGATGGAGAATCTTCGTAGGGAAGTGCATTTGTGCTGATCAAGTTTTAGATATAGATTCTTAGAATATTTTAGACTACAAAAGTTTTTTGTTTTTTTTTTTTTTTTGAGAAAACAATAACATACCATTCCTATTATCAACAACAATATACCATTCCTGAAGATAAAAGATGGTCGATGGTTCTTGATTGATTTTATGCTTTAGTTTCTTCCTATATCTCCACGCCCCAACACCCCCCCCAAAAAAAAAAAAATAATAATAAATAAATAAAAATAGAGGGGGGTATGAGTATAAACTCCCTCTTTAACAATCAACTTTCTGATGTGTTTTGTTCTTGTTAGCTTTGCTTTCACGTAGAAATTGCATTTGATGTGAAGGTGGGTTCTGTTTTATCATTTATGGCTAGCAAACACCTCGGACTTACAGAGATGCATGCATCAATCGCAGTTTTTCAGTGAATACAATTATGTGTGGCGTGATACTGCGTCTCTCTCTCTCTCTCTTCATATGTATATTTTCCCGGCACAGTGACTCTTAATCTTTAACCTTAAAAAATAGGATTGATGGTATTCCCAAATGGGATATTGTGAGTAGCGATGGAGACGAGCTGTAAATTTTTGAGGCTGGGAAATCTACGAGGGTCTCAAGGGAATTGGATGAAGATATTTGCAAGTTGCCAGTGCTGTAGTTAGGATAAATATCAAGGGCAGATGAATTAGTTCAAGATGGGATGGAGTTAAAATAAGAGAAAAGCTTAGGAGACACGAAATCCCCACAAGGACAAGGACGTCCCTCTCCAGATGCTCCTAAAATCCTAATCTCTCACTATCATCTCTCACTGTTGCCCTCTATTAAATAAAAACAAGTAGATGAGAGCCGTGAGGAATCTGAAAGGCTGCGTTATCAGAGCACTCTCCTTCACCCCCCTCCACCCATCCTTTTGTGCTTTATTTTCCCATTCTTATCCCTTCTTCGCTGATATTCTTAGTTTAATATAATAACATATAGTGCCTAGCACAGTAGCCATTGCATCCCTTTTCTCAATGAGAGTTGAAAAATTGATCGTTCAATGAATTTTTGGTCGTGTAGAAGTTTGGGATGATCAGGCTATTAATGGGTGACGTCTCCGAAGTTCAAAGATAGCAAGAAAATCAGCACAACCAGAGCTGTGTTTTAAAAATATTTTTAAAAAAATTTAATTTTTTTATTTGTTTTAAATTAATATTTTTTAATCATTATGATGCATTATATCAAAAATAATTTTTTTTAAAATAAAAAATATTATTTTAATATTTTTATAAATAAAAATAATCTCACCCACGCTTCAAAAAATAGTATTTATGCCACGTTTTATTCACTACATGTCTACCCCATCCCTGGGGTCACGGATGGGTCCTTTTTTATGCTAGAAGGATCAGCTAATGTCATCACTTCGATCAGTCTTAAGACTCATTTGTCCGTCCGAAAAGAGAGCACGATGTTTCGCAACTTGGCATTTTACTAATGGGCGTCACTGTGTAGTGTGGATAAATGATAATATCGGCTTTATTCCCCCCCCTCTCTCCTTGCTGCCTTCACTTGTTTTTTAATCTCTCTCTCTCTCTTTTTTGGATTTTATAATTTACATGCGGCATAAACCAATGGTTATCGTGAGACAGTGTCGATAAGGCTCGCTCTTGGGTTGGGTTGTGGTGGAGGCTGTGGCTTTGGCATCAGACATGCCGTCATTAATTTCTCATTTTCTATCGAGCACTCTCCGTGAATTTACAACCAACCCCACTCCCTGTCCCTCTCCTCTCCTCTCCATGTTACATGTTGCTTTCGGTGTTAATAGTTTATAAAGAGGGGTGTCGTCTTTCACCTCTTGTCTTTCTTGTAAACTCTAGCTCTTGCCTATCTGCAACCTAACCCTAACTTGTTTTTCTACTTTTGACTTGAGTGCTATGTTGTTGTCATGCGGGAGGAATGACATCGTTCCATTGACAATTATCAAATTTCTTGCATTTATACAAAGATGAAATTCAACACAACATTCGCTAGCGAAGACAACGAATTTGCATTGCATTTGGTTTCGTATAATTAGAGACAGAAATGTAAGAAAATTTTATGTTAAGTTGTGTGATTAGGATGGATTTTTTCAGATTTCAATGTATATATTTTAATATTTTGCGATATTATTTTCAATCATGTTTTAAGTTAAATACCTCCTCCATGAAATGAATGATATTTTACAGAGTTATTTATTGGATTTTTTTTATATTTTCTCAGATATATAAATAACGACCTGCTTTGAAATATCAGCCGTCCATGTGCAGGATTTCAGCTAGGGTATATATTCAGAAAAATCTCTATGAATAGTCACTCTCATTTATACACATCAATGAATATAATTCGGATTAGCTCAAAAAAATAAAGCACTCATTGTTTTTTTGTTTGGGAAAAATAAGATACAGAAACAATCAGCTTCATTTTATATAAATATTTCTTTTATCAAGATTTTCATGATCCATATGAATACACGGAGAAATAAAAAATGATAACAACAACAATAATAATAAAAAAAATGTAGAAATAAAAAATAATAACAACAATAATAAAAAAAAATAGCTTTGTTGAAAATTAAAAGGCATTCAGAAAATTTCTTTTCAAAACATATTATAAAACATATTATGTTCATTATGTTTATATTTATTAAAATATTTTGACATGATATAATTTCAAATTTGAAGAATAATCATTATCAAAAAATTAATAAATATAAACAGACACATCAATAAAATATTTTCATCGATAAATTACAACAAATTTCTTTGATTAAATATGTCATCGCAGTGTCCACCGATAGAAATATTCCATCAACATATACTAAAGGAGTTATAATTAGAAAAGAAAAAAAAAACCAAGAAGTACAATGACATGTCATTTTTATAGACAAAATTACCGACATATTTAAATTCATCGATTAAATTTGTTGGCAAATTTATCTATAATATTTAATTTATAATCTAATGAGCGACCCTCCTCTATTTCTTCCTTGATTATTCTTCTTCTTCTATTTTTCTTCGTAACAAACAATACAAACACCCTCTAATTTTATACAAATCAACCTCTTACTACAAATTTGATCATCCTAACACTTAGTTTGTTAACATTTTTGTTTTGATTCAAATTTTATTGAGGATTTCCCACTTCAAGCAAGTAAAATTATCCAGTTTTTATATAAACTCAATTTTAAAATGTTAATTTTTAGAGGATTCCCCACTTCAAGCAAGCAAAATTATCCAGTTTTTATATGAACTCAATTTTAAAATGTTAATTTTTATTGTATATTTTTATAGTATATGTATTTTGTTAAGGTATTTACTTATTTTATAGCTTTTTCTCATAGAAATTTGTTGTTTAAATGTATAATTTGTACATGTTAGGATTTGTTTGAGATATTATAAAATTGTATTTGTTTGTAAAATAATGAAATTTAATTTTAATTTATGATATAGGTGTTTTGTGATAAAATAAATACTAATTTATTTAGTGAGACCATTTTATATTGAGCAATTTAATTGTTGAATTGAAAATTTTGAACTTAATTAAGTTAAGAGTTTGACTAATTAATTTAAATTTTTTAAAAATCATATTTTATAATATATCTTAACGGCACATATGATTTTTAATTTATTTAGTTAAAAGCATGCATGAATTTTTTTTTTCCAAAAAAATGTGTTAGGAAACCAGCATATTAGTTTTTTTTGTTGTAAAAAAAAACTTATCCAACAAGCAACTGAGCACGCGTTAGATAGATAGTATAAGACTATTAATTGTTGAGGTAACAGGGAATAAATGCAAGATTAACATGTTAGACCCACTGTACAAGATATCATTCTTTTCCTTCCCGCACACTTGAGATTATATATGTAATAACCAATCCATAAATTGATCTGAAAAAGGACAGTGGTCATTAAGTTATAAGATTTATCTGCAAATCACTGGATTGATTTGAGTCCATTATCTTCATTAAAACGGAGTCATTCTATTTTTTTTTTTAAATTCTTTGTATTACCCACACAAGTTTGAATTGGTTTTAGCCAAGATAACGGAGTCACTAAAACTTTACCGAATTTTCAACTTTTATTATATTAATATTTTATTTTATTTAACTAAAAATATAATTTTAAACTTTAAATGCTAAATTTTTTAGTTGACTCATCAAATTTAGTCAAGTTTAATAACTATATATTTGTGATTATTTTAGGATTCAGTTTTTCTCTTAGACTTGATCGTTTGATTGTTAGGAAGCATTTAAAAATTTTAGATTAAATTGAAATTTTTAGTTAGATTTTACAAATAAAAGAATTGATAGAACAATTAAAATATTAATTTTTATTTATTGTAGGTAAAGATGTCGGTGACAGTTGGTTGTTTTTGAAATTTTTTTATTAAATTAAATTTTAATTAGATTTGGTAGATAGAAATTTTAATTAAAAAAATAGTTTTTAATTTATCATTAATAAAAAAATATCAAATTAAAAGGCAAAAATCTATTAAAAATCATAACATACGGGCAAATCTCTTTTTCTGTCTTCCTTTGCAGCTTTTTGTCTCCTCATAAATCTTTGTTTTTCTTTCTATTCTCTCTCCCCTGCTCTACTCATCCCATTCTCTTCTCTTCTTTTATGCTCCACGCGTAGGTATGTTTTTTCCTCTCTTCCCTATCTCTTATTATTTAATGGATTCTTGGGGTTTTGTTTCTCTTCTCGTGCTCGGAAAAACTCAACATTAACGTAAAAT